CCACAGAGATGGACCTATTGAAGAATTTTTTACAAGACATGCAAGGGGGAAAATAACTCCACCTTTTTGCCCTCGATGGCACCTCTCTGGCCACCCACCCTGGCATCTACTGCCCGCCACCCGCCAGGTGAGAAATTCATCCTTTTCAGTTCCCTGGATCACGGCCCTCTGACCCTTTCAAAGAGCCGAGGAGAGATGATGATGGATGGCAAGCTTGGGGAGAGGAGTGGATCGCCGTGGCTTCTATGTTATTTAAGTTCTGAAATAGCCAGGTCGAGATATTTTGCTGCTTGAGGCTTAAAACAAAATGGATTCTCTCCCGCCCCACCCCACCGCACAAATTTCGTCTATAGAAATCAACTAGATGAGGGGGAGATTTAATAAAATAATATCCTCCAGGTGGTGGATCGATGCCTCTGGGGACCTATAACCGTCTAGTGTCAAAGACGAGACATCAGGATCTCTGCTTCTTGACATTTATAAGACCCCTTCAGATGGAAATCTGTGCAAATTTATGCATTCGTTTATGTCTTTGTTTTATTCATAGGACACCTTTCTCCCAATAAAGGGGACCCAGGGGGGCTAAACGTGAGAATAATTTACACACAGACACACACGCACAATAGTAAATAGCTCTCAAAGCCCCTGGATGGATAAATCAGTTTTGACTTCTCCTGAAATTAACATAATACCCAATTTATTAAAAGCAGCTCCACTACAATCTCACTTGACACTAAGTGCCACTAGGCGGCCCAAGACTTTTTGCCGCCTGAGGCCAAGGACAAAATGCTTCCCTCATTCCATGGACATAAAAGCCAGCTAAAATGACGGATCCTAAAGCTTATCCTCACAAGAACTTGTAAGTAACAGGCTACACAGGAATAGTTACTTGTAACTGTTTTATATTTTGTGGTAAGTTAGAAACCAGGGTTCGAATCCATTAGTGAGCTATGAAAATCACCGGCTGATTGTGGGCCCAGTTATTCTATCTGCCTGAATACGTGACAAGGTTGTTCTGGTGAGGATAAAACAGGGAGAAAGGAGAACAGTATATCGGACTGTCCTACCTCGCAGGGTCGTTAAGTTGAAACGGAGAGGAGGAACGCCATCTTGGCTACCTTGAGCTTGTTGGAGGAGAAGTGGGTTGTCAAACCCCAAGCCGACAAATGTCCAGGGACTACGCTGCTGATGGGGGATGATGGGAACCTTACTCCCACACTTTCCGTCCCCAGCTAGGTGGGGGAAGGCTGATCTGCCTATATATGAACCATACGTCTCAATCTTTTGCATAGGCAACAGAATCTATGCCTCGTGGTCCAGAAAAGTTGATAAGTCAGTTTGTTGGAAAAGTTCCAAAAATCCATTCATTTTTAGACCTTTTCTCTTTCGACAGCCGGCGTGCTGGCTGGAGGCTTCTTTCAGTTTTCTCCCCCTTCCACTACTCCCTGTAAAGGGACCTCTTTCCCCTATTTATTCCATCGGGCCAGGTTAATTTACTGTTTTGACCTAGAGGCAAAAAAAATCCGCTCAGCCTGAAGCAGTCACAAAGCCTGCCTCTATCGCTCCACATTTTTTTCCTGCTTGGATGTCAAAACAACAAGTCCCTGTAGCTCACCAAAGCAAGGGAGGGAATCCAGAGGGGCCTCGGGTAGGTTTCTGCCTAGCGAGCAGGAGATGAGGATGTACGTTGAAATCCTGACACCTTGTTTTGATCTAGATTTTCAATCTATTTGTTTGCTTTCCCACTCCTACCTTTAAGCCACATTTTTGGAACTTCGGCTGCTTCTCCCTGAGCATTCCTTGGAATTTTATAGCATCCGTGCCTGCAGGCGAAGAGTCCTGTGGATCTCAAAAGCTTGGTTCCATCAGATTTAAATAAAACAACACACATACATTTGAAAAGGGTTTTTAATTGATTTTTAAAAGGTGCCTACATGATGCACATGGAAGCACGGAGTGTTTCTACGGAACGCGAGGCAAAATACTCTTCCGCCAGAGGGGCGTTTATCTGAACTCGGATGTCAGATTGATTTGTTTGGAACCGTTTTCGGCATGCATGAATGCCTCTGTTGGTCTAAAATTGTGTGGGTTTGTCTCCCTCTTAGCTAATATACAACACAGCTTAAAATGGATTAAAGGTTTTCCCAAGGGGATGCCCACACCAACCCAGATTCTATGTGACTACCACGTGACTTTAACCCAATTTCAAAAAAACCCAATCCGTTTCACCATTTATTTTCATAATGTAACCACACTCTTAGAGGGTAACTTCTCTAAGATCCCAGAAAGGGATTATCCAACCCAGGCCAGAGGGAATGTGAAGGTACAGATCAACTGGGGTCAACATCCGTGCTATTTTAAATCATCATCATCATCTCAGAATTGCAGAGCTGGAAGGGACCCTATGGATCATGGAGTGGAGCCAGTGTCAAGGAGGCCTAGCGGGGAATCGAACCACCGGACCCCTGCCACCACAGTCAGCTGCCTACACCACTGAGCGATGGCTTGCTTGCCATTTGTTGGATGGTTTGAAACATTCTCTGGAGTTTGGCCTTGGTGAAACACAGCCCGGCTTCACCTTGAGTGTAGCAAGCAAAAGGGAGATTTGAAATCTCGCATTGCTTTCGATCCTTCGCCCCGCAAAGGGACTGCTGCAGAACACAGTGTGTGTTTGTGTGTGTCCGAGAGACCCAGAGAGAGCCGCCCGGAGGGAAAGAGGTGGGGAAGAGATGTGGCAAAGATATGCTGGGCGCATGGTTTCCTCTCAGCGCCCTCCTGTGTGGCAAGAGTGCGAGATCAATGCTGGCTCTGTGGAGCAAAAGTGTGCGGCAGGAAGGGGGTGGAGGATGTGTGGGAAGGCGTGGGGGGGTGGAGAAAGGGGGCCTGTCCCTCTCTCTCTCTCTCCCTCTCTCTCTGAGAGGCACCCTGCTTCCTGCAGGGATGCTTACAAAGAACACACAACCACACTAGAGGCATGAAACAGCTGCCGGCCGTGCCGAAATCGACGGGACCTTATGGATCCCTTACCTGCAACCCTCTCTGAGCGGTCCAGCAACTGGGACGCACGGCTGCTTCGGAGTCTGCCGAATTTCCGCGGATTTGCCGGGATCCCGTCCGAACCGCCCCAGATTCGTGGTTCGGCACTCTGAACCCCAGGCCTGGGGGGGCCGATCCCATCACGACGCACCGCCCGATTCCTGCCTGCGCCAAGAGGAAAGGGGGAAAATTTAGAATATTTACATTGTCATCGGCTTTGGTCGCTATTTGGAGCGGCCCGTTTGGGTCCTCTCTGGTCCGGCTTTTTTGGGGGGGAGGATGCGTCACCGCTTAAACATGCTCCCTCTTATGCTCTCGATGATGCCACTGATTCTAGGCTTTCGTGACATGGCTCTGGCGCTCTCGACGTGCCAGACGTTGGACCTGGAGGTGGCGCGGGCTCGAAGGGTCCAGGCGTTGCGCGGACAGATCCTCAGCAAGCTGCAGCTGGTGACGCCGCCCGAGCAGGACGAAGGGGTCCCCGCGCAGCCGCCGGCGGAGGTGATGCTGCTATACAACAGCACGCAGGAGCTGTCCCGGGGACAGGCCGCCTGTGGTGGACGCAGCCCTGGGAGAAGTGAGGAAGAGGAGTACTACGGCAAGGAAGTGCGCCGTGTGGATCTGTCACCCCCTGGCCAGGCTGACAGTAAGGGCACGAAAAGGGGTAGGGGAAGGGTGGGAGAAAGGGGGGGGGG